AGGTCAGAGTTTGCCCAGCCCTGATCTACAGTGAACAAGTAAACTTGGCACTGAGCTGTAGATCCATCCACAGAACAGAATAATTTTCACCAAGTGGTGAGTAATTAGCCAAAACATGCCAAGTACAGTGCCACTTTATGCACAGCCATAACAATGAGCTTTTGCTTAACAAAACCAAAATATAGGACTTTGATTCTCTCCCTATGGAGTCTTGGGTTGTGACATGCAAAGGACGCTGTCATTAACCGTTTTCTGCTTTTATTAACAAACAGAACAAGCACATAGGTAGTAACAAATACCAGAGTAATAATGCCACACTGTCTGCTATATTCCTCTTCAATCTGAGACTGTAAGCTCTCACGGGCAGAGCCCTCCTTACTATTTTGTCCTGACTTGTACTGTAATGTCTTCCTATTGTAGAGCGTTGCACAAACTGTTGGCGCTATATAAATCCTGTATAATAATTATAATAATCATTCCAGAGCTCTTGTGTCACAATATCCTATTCGCATATTATAATAAATCACATGCCATCGAATTCACGAATAGAGTTTGTGGGGTTGATTTAGAAAACATTGCAGCAAATGTGAGGCTGTTGCCAATGGCAACCAGATCTCTTACACTGAAAGATGGTACAGAGTTGGTTGATGTGAGAAACAGGTCCAATTTGTATAACTTTTCTCCCTTACTGGCCACTTCTAGTCCATCACCCAAGAACTGTCTTCTTCATTATATAAATGTCTTCTTTATCCCACTTTCACATGACAGGACAACTGTGACAAGAAAACTGTGTTAGCCCTCAAAGGGAGGAATTTTGTTTAAAAAAAAAAGAGATAGATAAAATATTTGTGAAGTGTTACCCTGTACCTTCTGATGTGAAGAATTCTTCTTGTAAAACAAAAAGATCCTACTGCGGATAAAGTAACAATTTCAGGAGGCTGAATTTGTCTCCCACAATCCCTGATAAGATCACCCCATACTAGCAGAGACAATTGTTTTCTTTGCTGGCAATTTATATGAGTGTTCATGGAGTTTGGAATTACATGCCAGATAAGACTGTCGTTTCTGGAAACACACACATCATCTCCATTTATCTGTCCAAATATATTTATCTCAAGACACTTTCCTTGTTATAGATCAGAGATTGTTTCCGACCATAGAAGAATGAATGGCTGCGGGACTACAAACCTGGTAAGGGGGAGAAAATATATGATCTACTAATATTAGTCTAAAAGTAAATAAATGGCATCCCCTGGCTTTTTAAAAAAAATGGCTCACATTTTGTTTTTCTTTTGCATGTAGTTTCTCACAAACTGATGTTGCTAGATGGATGTCTGCAATGTATTTATTTTTTGTATTGTGTTCTTTTGTGTTATACAATGTGTAATAATAAATAGGAGAAATCCGAATGTTACAAGTAACTAGTTACAAGGTGTAACTTTCTTACCTCCACAGTCAGAGTTTAGTGGAGACCCCTAGTGGCCAAAATGTAAACCTTCACGTCTGAAATCAACATGCCAAATATTAAACTAATGAAACATCTCTCAGTATTAAAAAGCCTGATATGTGATCAAATTGCTCGGAGATTTCTGATTCACCGCCTCGTGTGAAGTCTCGAATTATTCGACTTCGTGATTCATTGCAAATAGCTTTGTTTTTCTCCCCTCACTGAAATGTAAAGCAGTTTGGAACATGACAGCAATGGCATTGTAAGACGTTTTATTCTTGACAAACCAATGCATCGTGGAATAAAAAAAAAAGTACAATTGCTGAAATAAAAATTAATTCAAATCACTTGATGAAAAGGAAAGTGGAACGTGTATGTAATTGCATTCCATTTAAGTCTCTTTCAAGTATTTCCACTTGCAGGTTCCTGTAGGCTCCCATTCATTTCTTTGTTATCATTAATTTGTGGTTTTATTCGACACTGAAGGTTTGTGACAGAATTGTCAGCTAATCTTTAAGTCATCTCCAGATTGAAAAAAAAATACACATCAGACAGATTGAAACAGGATTCGTTTATGTCTCTGGGTGGGTGTAAAGAAATAAAATAAAATTATGCTAAATGTTTATTTTTTTTATTTTGCTCATTCCTGTAACAGCTGAAGATGATTATAGCAGACGATTTGCAACAGTTTATCGATCGTGACTTTTCACATGAAGTACACTCAATTGTCCTTTACTAACAAATGGTTATTGGTGGACTTCGTTTTCACCACATTCACCTTAATAAGTCCCATTTAGTCGTTGTGACTTGGTTGTGTTCTAAACTAGGAAAATCAAATTTGTATATATGTCGGGGACTATATTGATATGTATATGTAGTTGCATA